TGTCTCAATGATTTCCTCCATCACTGTGCTTGTTTCATGTCTTTACACAATAAAATCACGGTTTAACTCTGGTGGTATTATATTACACAAGCCCAGAAATAAAGGTACAAAACCTGTCACTTATCAAAAGGTACACTTTTATACCTATTAGGTTCTAATATGTACATTTTAAATTCTAATATGTACCTTTAAGGTACCAAAATGGACTCTTTAGGTACAAAGATGTACTTTTTTGAAAAGTGATCACCCCAGTGACAGCTTGTTGTACCTTTATTTCTTATTCTTACCCCACTGGCAGATATAGTTGCTTGTTTTAAGCAAAAACAAAAAAAATAAATTGATAATTGTTTTTAGAAAACAAGACTTAAAAATAATTTGACTTGTACAGTAAATGCCTCTTGATTCAAGAATGTTTAGATATTTATACTAGAAAACAAGACAGAAATACTAAGCAAGAAAATCTTTTTTTGCAGCATATACTATAGTTACTTTGATATATATCATGCACTGAATAAATGCCATACTCATTGACTATTGCATTCCTAAGTTCTTCTAAGAATATCATGGCATTAACATGGATAAGCCCAAGAAATCATGCTAAATGAGTTTCACCTGTGAGTTTGTGAGTTCAGGTCGAGTCTCTCGGTCGGTGTTCGTCCGGTGTTCAGTGAGAGTCCTCCTGATGTCTGTTCCTCTGGTGAGTATCCGCATGCAGAGAGAGCAGAGACAGCAGGATTAGCGTCTCTGGAGATTAAAGCTTCATGTTCCACAGGACAGGCTTGTGCCATTGTGAATCATTTACAGTGATGTTGTGATTTTTGTTTTGTGAATCCCAGTGATGTCTTCACCAGTGTTGGAAAAGTTACTTATAAAAGTAATGTGTTACACAATTATATTACTGCCTAAAAAAGTAACTATTTGTGTTACTTTTTATGGAAAGTAATGCACTACGTTACTTTTGCGTTACTTTTTTCATTTGGGCTGGGCTTGCTCGTTTGTTGATTATATAAAAAGTTCTATTTTTGGCAAATGTAAAAGCTCTTTCACACCAGACGTGAAACAAATAATCCTGGATTGCATGAAGAATAGGATGCAAAACTCCTCAGCAAGAAAAATAATGAAAAACGAATGCTGTTTATCTACACTCTTAAAAATAAAGCTGCTTCACGGTGATGCCATAGAAGAACCTTTTTGTCTAAATGGTTCCATAAAGAAGCTTTAACATCTGAAGAACCTTTCTGTTTCACAAAAGCTTCTTTGTGGCGAAAGAAGGTTCTTCAGATTATAAAAAGCTAAGAAAGAGATGCTTCTTGACTGAATGCTTCTTTGTGGAACCAAAAATGGTTCTTCTGTGGCATCGCTGTGAACCTTTATTTTTAAGAGTGTAGTGTTTTTTTTATTATTAGTATGATTGAATTGGATCTTCGAAGGTCAGCAGCGAAGACACTGGTTAATAAAATGTAATAAAATTTGTCTTATTTAACAATTATTGCAGGTTTGCATTTGACAGTATTTATTGATTGTGAGGAGCACTGAATGTGTTTGTGTGCAGTGAGATGAGTAAACACATGTTGATATTGAGTCTAGAGCTACAGTAAGATCATGTTCACACACAACACTCTGCTCTTACTCCTGATTTCTGTCTCCATGGCAACACCAGAGCTGTCACTCAACACATGGAAACAAAGTAACTGGAGCTAACTCTGATATTTCCTTCTAAATGAAAAAGTAATTCGTAACTTTACTAGTTACTTGAAAAAAGTAATCTGATGATGTTCACACATTACTTGTAATGCATTAACCCCAACACTGACGCTCACATCCACTGAGTTTCCTCCTTTTTCTCTCTTTGCTCTATTTTTCTTCCCATTCTGAGTGATTTTATCAATCATTCTCAACATTATTTCTCTACTGTCACACTGCTATGTTGAATATCTTCCTCTTTCCCTCCCGCATCACATGCTGCTTATTTCTCCAGCAGTTTGTCTAGTAAGAACACACCACTAGAGGAAGACAGAGGAGGAATAATCACACAGATCACTGCTACAGGCCTGTTTCATCCAATAACACTCACAAATACTGTCTTTTCACCAATAATCACAAACCGGATCCTTTTCGAGCAGCGTTAATGTACAATAACAACACACTGGTTTGCACTGCAACAGCTCCTTTACTTTATAGATGTTTGTTTCACATGTTGTAAATTAAGAGTGTAAAAAGTGTCATAAATCAAGTGTGTTTTTAAGTGTATTAATTCTTCTACTAAATGTATTTAGTTTTAAAGATTACACTGCAAAAATATTCTCTTACTCAGTATTTCTGTCTTGTTTTCTAGTACAAATATCTAAACATTTTTGAATCAAGATGAATTGACTGTACAAGTGAAATGATTTTAGATATTATGTCTTGTTTTCTGTAAAAAAAAATCTAAATTTTGTTAGTTTTTCCTTCAAACAAGGAAAAATATCGGAATAATAATATAGGAATAAAATCATTTTACTTGTACAGTCAATTCATCTTGATTCAAGAATGTTTAGATATTTGTACTAGAAAACAAGATAAAAATACTAAGTAAGAGAATCATTTTTTGCAGTGTACAGACAGAAAGAGGAAAGAGACACATGCCTGAATAAACAGAGGAAGAAAAAAGCGGAAGAGGACAAGAGAGACAGAAAGAGAAGAGTTAAACTCCATTCAAACAAACTGACTTCTGTATTCTTCTGTATTTAGAGAAGCTGTGAGTGGCGTGAGTTTGATAGCAGAGCAATAAAGACATGAGAGACAAAGAACAAAACACACACACACACTCTCTCACACACACACTCACTCACTCACACACACACACACACACAGAGAGAGAGAGAGAGAGAGAGAGAGAGAGCAGAGAGAGAGGCTTAGCGACACACCAAAAAAGGGCTGGAGCTGGAGGTTCTGCTTGCTGGAGAAACACACAGACAGACGGACTGAAGGACTGGGCTTCAGGAATCATGGAGCAGGGCTGTGGATGAGCAGGATCTCCACCATGTCCATGGGCCCCGGGCCCCCAGGGGCCACTCATGTGAACGAGCCGGACCAGAGCACGGCGGGTCACACCAAGGGCCCCGTGGGCCTGCAGACGCTGCTGGATCTGCTGGTGGGAGTTTATCAGGAGTTCAGCTCGGCCGCTCTGCTCAGAGAGAAATATGTGCAGCGCTTTCTGCAGTGGGGTCAGTACTATCTCCATCCTCCTCATCCTCTGTGTGTGTGTGTGTGTGTGTGAGTGAGTGAGTGAGTGTGTGTGTGTGTGTGTGTGTGTGTGTTCAGTCAGACAGGGGGCACAAGGTCACAGAGGTCATGTGATCATGAGACACATTTGCTGGTTTTTAAATGGACAGTTCACCCTATAATTAACATTCTGTCATAATTTACTTGCATTTTCATTCTATAAAACCAGATTATGATGAATGTTCACTCACAGAATGATCATGAAAAATACTACATTCCAAGTCTTGTGATGATTTCTTTGAGGAACAGACCCAAATTTAGCATGTCATTCACAGATAACTCAGATTTGCATACAATATATTGAAAGATGCCATGTGAAGTCGTCTCATTTTTAACAATACAAATTGTTAAGAAGCAGCTTCACAGAAATAAACAGGAAAATAATGACAACAAGGAAGATTACTTTAATGATGCTCTTCAGTCATTTGTAAAGCATTTGTTCCTGCTCTCTATCACTATCCCTCTATCTCTATCATGGAAAAGAGCAGCATGTGTTTACAGTGGCATTAAATTACACTTTTAGAATTCAGTTGTCCCTGGACAACAGAACATTCACACACACTCACACACACACACACACATACTCACACACACACACACACACTCACACACACACACACACACACACACACACACACACACACACACACTCTCTCGCTCACACACACACACACACACACACACACACACACTCTTCTGGTCACACCCTACATGGCCAGAGAGAGACAGACAGTCGTACAGAGGGACAGGCAGGCTGTTAGACACAGTTTTCCATTTAAGCTGCTGGCAGCTGATTCTCTGTTGATTCATGCGAGGTAAACTGCGAACAGCAGGAAGGGAGTGACCAGATCCATACCCAACTTTCCATATCATCCGTAAAACAGGGTGTGACACAGGAAGTGATGTCACATGTGAAAACTCACAGAGCAACAGGTCTGAAGTTTATTTATCACACACACATCCTGACAGAGCCAGCGAGAACAGAGATATACCATCAACAGAGGATTATTAAAATACTGCGCTCTAATCACATCTATGAAAATGAAAGCAAATTTAAACACACGGCACAGATAATGCAAATGATGCTGGTCAGTGTTGTGTTTATATTATAGCAAGTTAAAGGGATAGTTCATCCAAAAATTAACTGTTGTTCCAAACCTGTATGAATTACTTTAGGCTGATGATCTAAGAATGTGAAGAATGTTGGGAACCAAACAGTCGACTTCCATAGTATGAAAAAACTATGGCTACTGTCAAATGTTTGGTTACCTACGTTCTTCAAAATATCTTCTTTTGTGTTCAACAGAAGAAAGAAACTTGCACAGGTTTGGAACAACATGATGGAGAGTAAATGATGACAGAATTGTCATTTTTGCATGAACTATCCTTTTAAAAGAGATACTGTATTTACACAATGTAAATTTCTACACTAAGTGAAAAAGCCTCTTGGAGCCTATAAATTTGTCAAGGCAAATGCCTCTTCGCATCAGAAATATTCTCAGACCTTTTTGTTTCTGAATGTTTAAAAGTCCAGTTTGTTTTATGTTTTTTCTTTATTATGCGAATGTGAAGCAAACATTCCATTTTATATTTTGCAAACGTTATGGGAATGTTACTTTTGAATGTTCTCTAAACATTCTGAAACAAAATGTTACATTTAAGAAAAAAGATCCATCAACAATGTGTAAATAATATTTTTGGGCTAACATTTTGAGAATATTATTAAAGACCAGATAACTTTGAATGAGCGTTCTATTACAGCTTTTTTCAACTGCTTACATTTTCAAAACTTTGCCTCTTTTTTTCAAAACTTCACACACAAATCCAAGAGTTGCACACTCAAAATGCAAAATGCCTCGCATCTCTTGCAAAATGAAGCACTGCATTCAAAATATCACAAACACATCTTAAAAGCAAATGTATATCATATACACACACAGTTATTCAAAACCTAAAGCTCTTCTTTCATGAGCTCCTGTGAACATTTCTGTACAAGATTGAAAGTAATTGTCAGAGAGATGTTGAAAAATTCACAGTAAGCACGAAAGCAAGATTGAAAGCAAACTTTTTTTCCTGTAAGCATCTATGGTTGTGAACACAGTAGTACACAGCACTAAAGAGAAGAAACACATCAAGCATGAGTACTTGTGTAGATGTGTGTTTATTGATTGGTTGGTGTTCTGTTACAGAGAACCGTGTGTCGTGCTTTGCAAAAAGTGCATAAAGTCAAAAGGCTGAGAATTAGTGTATGTTTTGTGTGCTTCTGCTGTTTGAGTGTCAGCTTTCAGAAACTGTGTGACGAGGAAAGATTCTGTGTGTACGCAGTTGAAAAAGTAATTTCGCTCAGAAGCAAACATTCCATTTTATATTTTGCAAACGTTATGGGAATGTTACTTTTGAATGTTCTCTAAACATTCTGAAACAAAATGTTACATTTAAGAAAAAAGATCCATCAACAATGTGTAAATAATATTTTTGGGCTAACATTTTGAGAATATTATTAAAGACCAGATAACTTTGAATGAGCGTTCTATTACAGCTTTTTTCAACTGCTTACATTTTCAAAACTTTGCCTCTTTTTTTCAAAACTTCACACACAAATCCAAGAGTTGCACACTCAAAATGCAAAATGCCTCGCATCTCTTGCAAAATGAAGCACTGCATTCAAAATATCACAAACACATCTTAAAAGCAAATGTATATCATATACACACACAGTTATTCAAAACCTAAAGCTCTTCTTTCATGAGCTCCTGTGAACATTTCTGTACAAGATTGAAAGTAATTGTCAGAGAGATGTTGAAAAATTCACAGTAAGCACGAAAGCAAGATTGAAAGCAAACTTTTTTTCCTGTAAGCATCTATGGTTGTGAACACAGTAGTACACAGCACTAAAGAGAAGAAACACATCAAGCATGAGTACTTGTGTAGATGTGTGTTTATTGATTGGTTGGTGTTCTGTTACAGAGAACCGTGTGTCGTGCTTTGCAAAAAGTGCATAAAGTCAAAAGGCTGAGAATTAGTGTATGTTTTGTGTGCTTCTGCTGTTTGAGTGTCAGCTTTCAGAAACTGTGTGACGAGGAAAGATTCTGTGTGTACGCAGTTGAAAAAGTAATTTCGCTCATATAAACCTGAATAATGGTGACAATCAAGAAACGTGACAAACTAGACATCAGAAGAATTAGACATCACAACACAACAAATGACTAGCAATAATGACAACAACAACAAGTCAGAAAACTATAAGCCTACAACAGCAACTGCTTCATTTATTCAATGCATGCTTGGAAGTTGTGTACATTTCAGCAATAATATTCAGTTTGAAACTGTTCAGGTCTGTTAGATGGGCTTTTATGTAGTTTGATCTTTCACATCTCACAGTACTTGTTTGGACTCAAAAGGCCCTTAAACTGAAAATATGCATTTGGTAAAGAGGATTCCGATGGTTTGAGAACAGAGAGGAGCCTGTTGTGTGTACGGCTGATGAGTGGCTCGTGGTGTTTAGAAGCAGCATGCAGTGTTTACAGTCCTGCAGTGAAGCTCTGGCTCCGGCTCCGGCTCCAGCTGCTGTCTGATGCCTTTCTTTGTGCTGGAAATGTGGAACGTTCTGTGCAGTAAAACAGTTTACGCTGTTGCCTTGGTCTCGCTCACATTCCTGCAGCCACGAGAGCGGCTCGAGTCCAAGGCTGGAAAACTTGCCTTAAAAAAGTCTCAGACATGAGCGAGCTATTCTTAGTTCATCTGTTCTATTTCTGCACCGCGAGCTCTTAAAGGGGAACGGGCCGGTGTTCTCCAGTATATTCTCTAGTGTTTTTGTCTTGTTTTCTAGTGTAAATATCTAAAAACTCTTGAATCAAGATGAATTTACTGTGCACGTAAAATGACTTAAGATATTATGTCTTGTTGTAAAAAAATGTTGTTAGTTTTACCTTAAAACAAGCAAAAATATCTGCCAGTGGGGTAAGAAAAATAATCTTGTTTAGCTTTGAATTTTCTTCTTTCAAAAGCTAAGAACTTTCTTCTACTGCATCTTATTCTTCATGTAATCCAGAACAGCAGCACAGCAACAAACACACTGGTTAATAAAATGGGATTAAATACATAAATTATATTTGTAAGACATTTTCTTGTAAATTGAAAAGTAATCTGATTACATAACTCGAGTTACTTGTAATGCGTTACGTGGACTTTGCTATTCTCTTAAAGCTAGAGTGATTATTAAAGCTTTATCGTTATGGTTGTGTTGTGTGATGTTCTCTCTCCTCTGATATTCGCAGCAGAGCCTCTGGTCAGACAGGTGAAGAAGACTCGGATAAGCAAGGATGACTTTGACATCTTAAAGGTGATCGGCCGAGGAACCTTCAGCGAGGTGAGAGGGTTTGTGCTGGTTCTGTTATGAAGCGGATGAGTATTAATATATTGACTGAGGTGTAAATGCACTGTTAATAATTTTAATGTTAATGTTAGTAGTTCTTTTTGCTTTTGTGCAACAGATAAATAACAATTTATGTTTT